TATAAGATTTCCTAAACTCCATATATTCATTTTACCTTGCTTCTTGTTGACAAGACTAGAGAAGGAGTTGAAGGTAAACTTGAATTATGGAGGTCAACTTTAGAGTCTAAAGTTTTTCGCTTGAGTAGATCTAAAACTGAATATATGGAGTGTAATTTTAGTAGCAATAGACCTAGTGAGGGGATTGTGACTTTGGGCGGTCAAGTCATTAATAAGATACACGTTTTAGATATCTTGGATCTATTGTTTAGAGTGATGGTGAAATAGATGGGGATATTATCAGTAGAATTCAAGTTGGATGGTTGAAGTGGTGGAATGCATCGGGCTTGTTGTGCGATAAAAAAGTCCACCTCAAACTTAAGGGAAAATTCTATAAGATGGTGGTGAGACCTGAAATGCTTTATAGTGTCGAATGTTGGCCATTAAAAGAGAAGCATAATACTAAGTTAAGTGTTGCAGAGATGAGGATGCTTAGGTGGATGAGTGGCTTTACCCTTAGAGATAGGATAAATAATGAGCATATACGTGAAAAGGTTGGAGTAGCTCCAGTGGAAGATAAGATTAGAGAGAGTTGCCTTAGATGGTTTCGTCACATTAAACGGAGGCCTTCCGATGACCCGATTAGGAAAATTGAGATATTAGATTTGAGCAGCATAACAACTTCTCATCACACCTGAAACACAACCCTTTTTTTCCTCTTCTCTGTTAGCCTCTTGAAAATTCCCTCGCTCCCTAAACTCAACCCCTTTGCCCTCTTCTCCATCAGCCTCTTGAAAAAGTCCCCCCCCCGTCTCCCTCCTACCGTCTTCTCCTTGGTGGTCTCACGAAATCCTGTTGTTGCAGGACCCTTGGATACTAAGTGGGTGGTCTTCATCCTGTAAGTACCTCCTGAGCTACTTCCCTTGACTCCCTTTTCTAGATTCTTCTGATTATTTACCAATTGTACCAACTTCATGGCTTCTTCCAAGTTACGAGGCATCATGACCTTTACCGCCGCTCTGATTTATGCCTTTAGCCCCTTCATGAAGTTCCCCTCCAATACTGTCTCTAATAATTGCTCCACCCGACTGGCTAGGTACTTGAACCGCTCCCGATAGTCTTCCACTGATTCCTCCTGCACCAATGCAAAAAATTGCTCATAGAAATCCCCTCCCCTTCGGTTTAGAAACATTCTAATAAACAGTCCTTGAAGTACCTCTCCACCTTGTAGATCCATCCATGGTTTAAAATTGCGCAATATGAGGCTCGCCTTGAGGCCCGCCTTTGCGCAATTCCAGTTAAAAACGCCTCGATGCTTACGCCTCGAGTTTTTTTTATGAGGCTTGCGCCTCAACTTGGTTGAGGCCCGCATTGAGGTCCGCCTCGCCTCACTGGCATGAGGCTTACGCCTCACGCTATATATATTAAAACTTACATAAATCTTGAAGTAAATGTCTAACATTGGACTCTATAGAAGAGGAGGAAGGGGATAGAGCAGTTCATCATAATAATGATGCAAATGAAGAGCCCCTTAGTGATGACAGTGCTGATGATTTATGAGTTCTTATGTGATATGCCATTGCTATTTATTTTTGGAAATCAGAATTATATGTTAATGAAAAGAATACTGGGATTTCGGAAAGATAGAATTTTGAGTTGAACTATATTTCATGTTGTCTTATTATTGAGATATTTTGATTTCATTTCATATCTTATGCTTTTTGATGTTTTATATTATTCACTCATTAGTATATAACAAATTTATCATTTTATGTTTATGCAATCTTTTGATTTTGAGGCTTACGCCTCAAAACGCCTTGAGGCTTACGCCTCGCCTCACAAATGAAAAACGCCTCAATACCCGAATACACAATTTTAAACATTGGATCCATCCATAAGCATCACCCCCTTTAAAAATTGGCATTTTCATTTTCCTCACCTTTGGCTCTCCCATGTTTCCTCGTATTTCTCCATATTTTCCTCTCCCCCAAGTGCTTTGCTCTGCCCATGTCTCTCGATCCTCCCTTACATGCTCATCTTGAAACCCCTCTTCACTTTCTTTCCTACTTTCTCCAAAATCAGCACCCCTCCTACCATAGTTTCCCTCATTTCTATCCCAAACAACACCCTTTACTCCTTGCTTCCTATTTCCACATCTCTCTTCTCACCTTCCCCTTTTCTCCTCAATGATTTCAACATCGTTTTCCCTCATTCGAAAATCAAAATTCGTAGTTCTTCGCACTGGTTCCTTCGCCTCTGATGCCGCCATTTGGATTTGATTTTCCAATAACCTCTTCACCATCAAATGAAGATCGGAAATTGTCTTCCACGGACGAAACCTTATCTTCTACGTATGAAATTCGATCATCCATCGTGGCTTTTATTTGGCTCATCTCTCATTCCAAACACTCTTACAATGCATTTTCCTTCTTCTTGGCCGCCATCAAGATTTATCGATTTTGATCCAAAAATCAGCAAGGGTTCCTTTCTCCAGATGATTTTTCACCGTTGAAATTTCAAGAAATCAGCCCCCAATGATCCCATGACTTGCTATGATACCAATTTGATAGGAAATACTTGACTATTTCAAGTAAACCCTAACAAGAATATGAAAAAAACAGCAAGAGAAACACACAAAAATTTGATGGAAAACTCTCCAAATTGTAATTGGATTTCAAAAGAGAGAACTAATGGAAACAACGAAACAACGATGCAATTGCTCAATTTGAGAGGAGGATCATCTCTCCCAATCTCTAGATGAATCTTGAGCACAAGACACCAAGAAGAACCCTCAAAATAACACAAAAATAAAAACATAACCCCACCCTAATCTACCTCCCATACTTAAGGCATACAATTAAAACAATAAAAAAAACAAAAACAATAAAACAAAAAGACCTAAAGGCCCTTGCCGCCCCCTCCTTTGGCTCTAATTTTGAATTTAAAATCAAGTGGACCCCTCTTCTCTCTCCCTCTCTCTCTCTCTCTCCCTCCCTCCCCCTCCCTCTTGCCGGCGCCCCCTCCTGCTATAGACTTGGCCCCTTAGAAGGGGCCAGCTGGACCAATCCACTGGGGGCCGGTCTAACACTCTACCCTAATCCTAATCATTTGCTTAATTGTTATTGGCTGAAGTTTTGGGTGAATAAGTTTACAAGTTGGCGGCAAATATCAAGATCATCCTTACGGTGAAGAAGGGATGAGAAAGTGGAGGTGAGCACTGAATATGTTTTGAATGGGAGGTCTACGCTCGTAAATTAGATAGAGGTGGTGAAGAATGTCGTGGGAAGTGTATTAGTTGTGATTGCCGACAAAGAAGTGGAGTTATCTTATTGGAAACATTTGTTAGCATGTGAGTAAGAAATTGAACGATTGTTTGAATTTGATGGTTATTAATTCTGTTTTCTTAATCTCTATCCTTATGCTGCTATCAACCATTTGCCATAACTTTTTTAATTTTTTTAAACAAGAGATCAAAAAGGTTGTGAAGCGAAGGCAGGCAAGCGTCCAAGAAGAGAAAGAGTTAGATGTGAGAAAGAAGCAAATGAAACCTTAAAGCAATATGATTTCACACAACAGTTCTTAGTAAATTCAAGAGATTCAGCACTTCTCTTAGCTGATTAGAGATGAAAATGGGGTGGCCTAACTTCAAATTAGTATTTGAGGTTCAAGTTGCACGAGAGAAATATCTATACTCTGTCAAAACTTAACTCCAATTTCATGTGTAGACATGATCTTTTTCAATTCCCTTTGGTGAGTTTCCACTAGTTTTGTCAAGCTACTTGGCCAGAAACAACTCTCATCAAACTTGCATCGAGGAACATTTTACGTAGTTGCTACTATTGTCATGATTGATGGGTGCTCATTCTCCCTAAATATATGATTAGCGCCTAACTGAAGTCCTACGCCAAAATTTGCCAAGCGTTCCAAGACTTGAGAGCTGAGCGAGCCTTCCGTTGAAGGTTAAAACTCGGAGCCAATGGTGGGAACGTAGCTACAGTATCAAAGAGATCTGGTTCTCTTTTTGTTCTCGCACGGGATCTGCCTTACTTATTTGGACTTGTGGTTTCTTTCCTTTAATGCCCCTTAGTTGTTGGCATATTAGAGTAAAAATCTCTTGAAAGATTGATTGGGTCTATTCGGTATAGTAAACTAACTATAATAGTACTCCTAAAAACATCGAAGCTATTTGGTAGGGACTATCGGGTTAAGTGTTGCAGAGATGAGAATGCTCAGATGGATGAGTGGATTTACACTTAGAGACAAGATACGAAATGAGCATATACGTGAAAAGGTTGGAGTAGCTCCAGTGTTAGATAATATTAGAGAGAGCCGTCTTAGATGGTTTGGTCACATAAAACGACGGCGTTTCAATGACTTAGTTAGGAAAGTAGATGTATTAGATTTTACTTATATTAAGAAAGGTAGAGGTAGACCTAAAAAGATTTGGTTAGAAAATATTAGAAAAGATCTTTCTTTATTAGATTTAAACAAGAATTTAACTTTTAACATAATACATTGGAGAAAAAGGACTCATGTAGCCGACCCCATGTAGTGGGACAAAGGCTTGATGTTGTTGTTGTTGCTGCTGCTAATAAAGTGAGACAAATCTAAACTAGGATGCCATTGGTGCATTTAATGCGGAAATTATTATGTGAACGTAACTGATGATACTCTTTGTGCTGGTTACTAATTATTCTGTATTGTTTTGTTGTGCTATTGCAACTTGGATCCATCGAATAAAATACAGAGTAGCATAGACTTAAGCTCCAGTTGAATGTACAAGAGAATCTTTAGCTACATATCTTATAATTTCTCCATCTAATGGACCTGATCTATGTACTTTGGCCTCTATCGGAACTAATACGCTTTGAAATCAGTGCTCTTGAACAATAGAACGTTCTTTCTTTGCATTGATTTGCTTATTTTATTGCTCAGTTAAATTTTTTATTTTAAATACAAATCCAATATTTGTGTAGTGAGTATTCTTATTAGAACCTGAAAAAATTTTTTTTTTCCCGCAGATGAAGATGAAGTATAGGCTAAGCTTACAATTTGGTTCTGTAGCTGGTTTTGTTTGCTGAATGCCATCTTATTATTCCCTCGAAACCAGTAGGATTGTTCCTTAAGAGAAGTAATATTGAAAAATATTGTGGTAATTGTTGCAGCTTATCCTTTGTTTCTTCCTAAGACCATATAGGCCAAATGGACAAGGAATTTGGTGAAAATATAGGCCAAATGAACAATTCCTTCAAATTCTAAGCATGTGGCAATTTCTCCAGTTCCAAGAATAATATGTGGCATAAATGTAGCCACTTATTATGACCTTTCTTTTATGAAATCCTGACTATTTTTACTTGAAGCTTTGTCCAAGTTTGCTGCTTCATATAATGGGAAAAAATTGGTTTTTTTTATTAGAGGTTGCTTATGCTTTTTCGTTTTGTGTTGAAAGGTAGTATATCCATTAAAGTTTTAATTATGCCTTTTTAAGGTAGATTTTAAAAATTTTGTGAAAAATAATTATCCAAATGGTAGTTGATTTTTTGTTGGTTATTTTTATTATCACAAAAGGTGTTAAAAAGTTGTCCCAAATGAATTATAGGCATCCATGTGTTTGTAACGTTGGTGTTGACAAAGTTTAAAAATTTGTTGTTCTAGAAATTGTTGCTAATATATGAAAGGATGGGGTTTAGAGGTTCAGCGGTAGGGATGTTAATATTTGACACGACTTAAAAATTCGATTTAAAAATTTTGAGTTTAGGTCAACCCTTTTGGAATGTGGGTAAAGTCTAGGTTTTGTATTTTGAGTTGTTTTCAATTTAGGGTCGGGTTTGGGTTAACCCAAAAATATGAAAGCAACTTGAAATCTACTTAGGTTGTGCTTGCCTGCTAGTCGTGCTTGCACAGTCTCACCCGCATTGCGTAGTGCTCAAGCACGTGTTGCACTCGTGCACGTGCTCGATTGCTCGTGTAGCTCGCCCTTACGAACACGCAGGTATGCTGGCTCAGCTGCTCGCTCTTGTGGATTAGCGGGTTGTGTAGTGTAATAATTCAAATATTTGAAATAAATTTTCTTGCAAAACATGAAAATTTTGAAGTAGAGCATTTTGGTGTTGATTTGGTGAGTGCTGCGGTGCCATAACATAAATAGTGTATTTTTTAGTATGAAATATTTTTTATTAAAAATTTATATTTAAAAGTTAATTTAAAATAATAATAAGAAAGCTGTCTCAAACGAAGTCATAGGCTTCATTTGGGATACCTTTTTTATTGCTTTGTAAAGCGGCTTTTCAGTATAAATATTTTTTGAACTAGATATTTTTGTATTAAAAAATTATTTTAGACAATAGTAAGAAACTTGACCTAAATGAAGCTTTAGACTCCATTTGTCTCATTGATTTCTTAGACATTTTTTTAATAAAAAATTTTAGTCAAGAAATTTTTGCACTAAAAATTTATTTTATAAAGTAGTAAGAAAGCTATTCCAAACAAAGCCTAACATATCAAAGGAGGTGATGAGCAGCTGCGAGGTGTGAATAGGGGTGTCAGTGAGTCAAGTTGACTCATGAGCAGTTCGGGCTCAACTTGATAAATGGCTTGTGAGCCAAGTTGATGAGCTAACAAGCCAAAGTTGAGTCGGCCCTGACTTGACTCATTATTTTATGAGTCAACTCGTTTAAAACATATCAATATAAAATATACTTAAGATATATTAGCATTGAAGATTTTAAGTAAAAAAATTATTTAAAAAGTATATCATATTTTGTTATATTATGCGATTCTTTATTATTTTTCTTTTAATTTGTCATTCTTTTTATTATTTTATTATAATAATTGCTTGGATCATAATCATTTTCTCTCTTTCAAAATAAATGAGCTGGCTCGTGAGCCAGCACAAACTTGTAAAATAAAGCTCGAGCTCAAGTTCGAACTAGAATAATAAATTAAGCTCAAACTAGTGATTACTCGAGCTCAACTTCACTCGTTTATAGATGTGGGAAATTCAAGGTTGAGATGAAATTTGACTTAGTTTATAAGTAGTGAAAGTTATATAGGGTCGAGATAAAGAGATATATAGGACGTCCTACCAAACATCTATAATGAGATGGGTTGGGTATGAGATCCCGTTTGTGTCATTAAGTTGGGTGCGAGGGTCCATAGGAGAAAAAAAGCTTCTGTTTGTTACTGATATCAACTTGCTAGAAATGAGTAGGGCTACAAATGAATCGAGCTGAGTCGAGTATGTGCGTGTCCATGTTTGAGTTCGTTTAGTATCAACTTGTTCAAGTTCGGTTCGAGTTTTTTTGTCCGTGTTCAAGCTTGATTCGTTTAAATTAATGGGTGTTCATGTTCGGTTCATGTTCGGTTCGTTTCATGCTTATCGAGCTTTAAACAAACGTGTCTTATAGAGTTATAAAGGAGCTCTACTTCTAGATATTTATTAACTTAACAAACGAGTCCTATTGAGCTTTCTAACAAACAATTACATTGAGTTGTTAGTGAACATATATATATCAAAGCTTTTTTAACTATCAAAGAAGAGCTCGTTCATGAACATATCTATTGGTCTTCTTGGCTATAAAATGAGCAAAATTCATGAACATATCTAATTATTTTTTTGGAACTACCTGAGACCGTTCATGATCAAACGATATATGATTCATCTTATATTTTTTAATAAATATTTTAAACAAACCATCGAGCAAATATAAACAAATGTCTCCTATTCATGAAATTTATAAAATTTATTAATTAATAATTATTATATCATTATGCTATAATAAATATAAAATATTTATATTATATATGTTTATAGGTTTTATAATCAAATATTAATCGAGTTTTTAACTGGCTTATTCATGAGTTATGAATCAAACACAAATCGAGCTTAATGTCGAGCTTGTTCACGAGCATTAAATGAATGTGTTCATGAACATAAATGAGTTAAAAATATTATTGTTTAAGCTTGTTTATTTAATGATCGAGTATTTTAAAAAAAATGTTTATGTTTGTTTGTCTAGTAAATTAAACGATCACGAATAAGCTTTAATCGAACCGAGCAATTAGTAGCTCGTCAAACACTTGGTTCGCTTGCGGCCCTAAAATGAGTGCTTTGGGCAAATCGTGGAAGAAGACGGTGAAAGAAAAAGGGGGAAAATGAAACTTTAATACTTCTATAATAAAATTTTATTAATGCTTTATTTGGGATAACTTTTTACCGCTTCTTAAAACAGCTTTTCAGTACAAAAAAATAAAAGTCATCCCAAATAAAGCTTATGCTTGGTTTGTATAGTTTTTTATTGCTTTCTAACGCACTATTTTGTATAAAATTTTCTTAGGAGTATAAAAAAAAGTGGTTAAAAGTTGTCGCGACAAATGGGTGGTGAAATAAATAATCACTAAACCTGAGACAAATGCTTTGTCTAGATAGCTTTTTTATTAATTTGCTTTTGAGATCATAATTATAATTTTGTTTTACTATAAAATTTTCGTTATATTTTAGTATTGTTTGTGCTAGAAAATAGCTTTTAAAAAAATTTAATTTTTCTGCAATAGCTTTACAATAACCTTTATAAAAAACTGTAGGTATGTCAAAGAAACCCTAAGAGCAATGATATTATGTAAAAAATAGGCTGTAACAAAGATGACATATTTAGGTGAAGCTCTCGATAATTGTTTATTTTATATATATATTCTAATATAAATTAGAATAAATTTAATTTAATTTTTTAATTAGATTTATTTTAAGATTAATATAATATAAATTCTTTAATATATAACATAAAATTAATAATTTTTAAATTCTTTATAATATAATTTTTATAAAAGTTCTCCTTGCAATTTTTTATTTCTTTCTGCGTTTATACTTTATATTGCTGTCCAACGTAGAACTCCGACGATCCATTTCGCGGTGGCTTTCATGGCTGCACTTGATACCGGAGCGAGGAGACATCCTTCTTCTTTCTTAACTTGCTTTGCTCTATTACTATTCATTGCTACGCTGTTCCTATTCTCGGCCCTTCGCCGCTCGTTCTCCCCCGAGGGTTTATCCGTTGGTGTCCAGCCGTCGGCGTTAAGGAGAGATGTACCTGGTGAAGACTATTGTGACTACTCGAACGGAAATTGGATACGAGACCAGAGTTCCGTCATCCCTCGTTATGATAACTCTTGCAAGGAGATCTTTAAGGGTTGGAATTGCATATCCAGCGGCAAATCGAACGCCCGCGAGCTGCTGCAGTGGCGGTGGAAGCCCTTGGGCTGCGATCTCCTCCCTCTTGATCCCGTCCATTTTCTTCGCCGATTCAGAAACAAAAGCATAGGCAAGTGATCCATGAAAAACTTTGCTCGAGTCTTTAAAAGTAGGTATTTCTATGGTTTTTCTGTGGATGAATGAGGGGTTTGAGAACTGCAGGTTTTGTTGGCGATTCTTTAAATCGGAATATGTTTGTCTCTTTGTTCTGCATGTTGAGGAAAGTTTATGTGGGGGAGGTGAGGAAGTGGCGGCCTGCGGGTGCTGACAGAGGATTTACCTTTGTGCGCAACAACCTAACAGTGGCGTATCATCGGACTAATCTCCTGGCACGCTATGGTAGGTAAGGAGGCGTTGTTGAGTTGTGATGATTGTCTGCCACGAATTGACTTCTTTTTCAAAGTCTATCATTTACAATATGAAAACAAGTTGTTTTATGTGGGAGAAAATGCTCAAAATGACATGCTTTTGACTTTAAGAGATTATTGCATTTGCAAATCTGTTTATGGCTTCTAAGAGCACCTTGCCTGTTTTACTTACCATTTTATTATCATGGATAGTTGTTGAAGCATGTCTACATCATTTTTTGTAGGTAAAAGCCTAGAGGTTTAGCATTTAATTGACATGAAAAAGATAGAGATGATTCATGCAATTTGGTATCCTTGCATGAGACCTTTTATTTTTCTTTTAATATTGAAGTTTTATAGCTTTCATCTTCACCTAGGAGGTTTTTAGCTAGTTTTATTGATGATTTCCATATAATGTGGTTTGCTGTAATGTAATTCTGAATCTCAGTGGGAGCTTGGATATTTAATAAATATTAGAGGTATAAATTGAGATTATTAGAGAGATATTGATGGTAACATAAATTGAAAATAATTCATTGAAATTATAATTGGGTTGTTTGGGCATTATTGGCTTCTAAAAAAGCTCTTATTGCATATCAATAAAAAAAGAAGAATTTGGAGGCGATGTGCCTTGTCCTTCTTTTGTTTAAGAAAACTAGAAACCTTATCTTCAGCATATCATCGCTAGATTCCAACCAATTCTTCCATATTGACAACCTTAGTTCTCTACCTTTAGGAAAGCTCATGAGCTGCAAGGTTTAAATATGTCCTTTTATGTGATAGTGTCATTGGACTATAATATTAGTCTCTCATTTATGCCATTTCTCATATTGCATTGAAACATATGCTAAGGCCTAATAGATTCACCATTGTTACAGTGCCTTATTCTTCTTTCTTTGTTTGAAAAAATTGACACTTATCTCCCACAATTACTAGTTGCTCTAATTTCCTTATCCATAGATTCTAACCGCTCCTTTCATATCGACTACCTTCCTCTAGTCCTCTTGTACCTTTTAGAATAGACCATGAGCTTCTTGGTTTAAAAAGGTCTCTTTATGCATTAGCGGTATCGCCTTATCATATTCTTCAGTTATATCTTACGTTGATGGTATTCCATTTCTCACAATGCATCGAAACACATTAAGGCCTAACATACTTACCCACTTCTACAATACCTGATCTTTTTTCATTTGTCCGAGTAAATTAGCACCCTTTTCTCCCACAATTGCTACTGACCTTAGTTGCCTTATTCCTAGATTCTAACCACTCCTTGCATATCAGCCTCTATCTTTATGAAAGTTAGTGAGCCACTAGATTTAAAAGGGTCCCTTTATGCATAAGCATCATCTTGATGTCATATTCTTCTTTTTATCCATCTTTGATAATATTCCATTGCTCATATTTCACAATACACACTTCCTAAGACACTAATATACCCTAAGGGAAATAAAAAAGTACAAGTGCGGCACACATCATACTGAAATATGTGCCTAAGATACTTGTGTAACCTAAGTGGTCGAAATTATAAATGATCTTCACCAAAATATGTATTAAGGCCTTTGTGCTAAATGCTAGATTTTCACTGTTAATGGTGATATAGCACCCACATTAAGTAGTCAACTATTATCTTTTTATATCAATATGAAAGGAGGCTGATTTAAGAAGCTAACATTTATCGACCTAAGCTAGTAAATATGATCATTAGGAAGACAATTTGTATCCTCCGGTTTAACAAGTTAGTTTGGATTTTGGCCTTCATCTTCCTAGATTGATAAGTCATTCCTTATCTCCCAAAATTGATAATTTGATCCTTATCAGGAAGATTGATCTTTTTTCATTGATAGATTAGATGGTCCTTTTTAAAAAGTTGACTCTTATTCCTCATTATAAATAAATAGTTCTTTATCACAAGTTGACAATTTATCTCCTTGAATGAGTAGGTCAATTCTTATTGAGAAGTTGGTACTAACCTCGCGAATCAATAGGCCAGCCATTGTTTAGAAGCTATTATCTCTCTTGATCCACAAGTTGGTCCTTAGTGGGTGGGAAGGTTACCTTTATCACCCTACATCAATAAGAAGCAATAAGTTGATTCTTATCTAGAAGTTGAGCCTTATGTTTTGAATGAGTAACTCAAGCCTTCTTGGAAAGTTAGAGGCTATCTCTTTGGATTGTTAATTTACTCCTCATCGACAAGTGGACCCTTGTCTCCTTGGATCAATAAGTCAATGTCCTTATCGAGAAGTCGAACTTGTCCCTTTTCGATATGTTGGCCTTGATCGATCTTTATCTCCCTGGATTGTTAGTCATTGTTTGAAAGTTGTTATCTCTTGACAATAAGTTGATCCTTATCAGGAAATCAATCCCTCTCTTTGAATTGATAAGTTTGTCCTTCTTGGGAAGTCGATGTTTAGCTCGCTAGATTGATAATTTACTCATCAGCAGCATGGTTGCCCTCATGTACTTGGATCAATGATTCAATGTCCTTATCGAGAAGTTAACCATTATCTCCCTTATCAAGAAGTTGGCTGATCAACCTTAAAACTCTTAGGGAATATAGGAATTGACTTAGCCACATTTTTTTGGAGTTTCCTAGGTTAGTTCCTCTGCTTTTAACTCAATTTGACACCAACATGAAATATATGCAAATCAAGGAAGATCTAATATTACATCATTGAATAAATGAACCTTAGATACACGGAAGGAGAAGTACCTCTTCTAGCTTTTTGGCCTTGCAGATGATGCATGAGTACTGAAGAACTATAGGCAGTGAACAACGTCTTTAGATGTTGTAAATGATGTTGAAGCCGGATGGAAAGTTGATAGCAGAAGTCAATGTCTTTTTCTGCTGTGGCACTGCAGTATAACACAAAACTATGACCCTGCTTATGATCCAAATACTCGTTACTGCTGTATGGTATAGAGGCAGATTTGAGCACCTTAGCTTTGGCTGCTCTATGCATGAGGATCACAAAGTGCTATATCTAAATACTTGAATGCTTTTTGTGCATCCATTTAGCAATACATTGCCAGCGAAATAATCCTGGAAGGCCATTTAATAGCCAGTCAAATAGATAAGGGTGATTAATCCATATATGCTGTTTAGGGTTGGATTGATTTTAGGTGAGCAAAGAGTTAAGAATAAGATTGTTGGGAGAATGTAGCCTGATTTGTGGAGGAAGTTTAGGAGTGTGATAAGATATGAATTAAACATTTAAATCCTAAAATTTGAAATCCAAGCTTCGAATTTTGAATTCAAAATGGAGAATAAGGTTGGGAGAAAGTTATGGAGTTCAAGATTTGAATTTTGGTATAGATTTGAGCTGATTGTTTGTTGTAATTGCAGCTCCGTGCTTTATTTCATCAGAAATAGGAAGAAAACAATGGAGGGAGAAGTAAATAATCAGAAAATAAAATTCTGCTCTAGTACAAGTGTAGAAATACTGGAGCAGTGAAAAATAATGCTACAAAATTGATTTTCCGCTCTTTAACTAGTGCAGGAAGGCAGTGTTGACTAATGTTAAAAAATTAGTGGATACAAGCAGAAAGAGGGTCAGTAAAGCAGCCAAATAATGAATGGATCGTGTAAAAAACAAATAAAATAACTTAACAGCCTATTTTCTGATTTAAATAAATAAAATTAATCAAAAAGATAATAACTAATTACTAACACAATCTAATTTGAAATCAAATAGGATATTGATGACAATGCTGAACTACTTGATGGCCTCCACACTAAGGTTCCACCTTGCCAGCTTGGAGCCATAGATCCATGCTACTGAAATCCTCATAGTAAGTCTAGGTTGTGCTATAATGCAACGCTCTAAAATCTGTTTCATACTTAAGCAAAGTCCTCAAATGCTTTGCATTGATAAATTTGCAAAGACATTGTTGTACTCTAAATGGAGGCATGTTTGCTTTGACTTCTACTTCAAGGGTTGGTATGTAATTACTTTGACCTCCACCTTAAGGCATGATATGTTAGTTTTGACTTTTGTCACAAGGGGTGATATTTCATCCATTTTGATTTTCACCTTATGAGGTAATATAAAAACTTGCACTAGTTTCTATGGGAATGAGTGATATGAAACAAATATTAGGTGGTACCCCTTGAGGTGCTATAAGATTAACTACTTTGAAATATGTGCCCAAGTGCTAGTGCTTCAAAGATAAACAAATATTAGGTGGTATCCCAAGAGGCATGTCTTTCTCCCTTAGGTTTAGCCTTTAGTCCTTGGAAACTCCTTAGATTTAGTAACCCAACTTCACATCGTAGTTGAGGTTCCAGTACTCTAAAGCCAAAAAGTCACAATCAGCTTAATGGCTCAGTGTTTTATGGTTGTAACACTTTTTGGCCCAATGTCTGTATTTATGACACTTATTTGTTTGACTTAAAGTTATGACCAAAGACTAATAATTGAGATTTGATTATTCGATAATCTTAAATAATGAAAGTATGAGATTTGAGAGGGTTAACCAATCGTTCTCCATAATTGTCACCATAGCTCACAAACATATGTCATACCTACTTCCAAATGCTTGAAATGTGGCTACTTCTTTAATCGAGAGTAACCTACTTGTTGGGAAAATTAATTAATTATAAGGGCTTGTGAGTATAGGAAACCTCAACCTCATTAATAAATCTTGATTGATTGCATTGATAATCTTGTTAAATACAAACTCAATTTGACTTATGGAATATTCTTAGACTCTTACGCACAAGACCTTTGGGGTTTCTTTCTCATTTAACATGTTGGATAGATGTAAAAGATGTAATAATACAGTGGGTAGATAAAATTAATTTGGAACTATTATGAAATAATGAGGTAGATTGATCTTAAAATTGCTAGAAGTTGTCTAAAGAAATTTGCCAAAAATATAGTTAACATCTTGTATAGCCCTCATCAAGAATGAATGGAGAATGAGAATTCGTTGAACCAACTCTAAGCATGAAGCTAACTATGATAATGATGATGTTATCCACTTTGGATTTATTTAGTCGTTTTATGGAAGTTTTCATTTTATATGGCTATCCTCCCATGTGCCTTTAAATCTCAAATCTTTGCAGTGTTCTTTGTTTGTGTCATAATACATCAGATTGATTATATGTTTGGATTTATTGTAAGTTAATCAGATGACAACATCTCTAAAATTGTGTCCCAAGTAATTAACAAACTTCTAACTAGAAGGAGACTAATATTTTGTTCATTTTATTCTATTAGTAAAGTGAGAAATCTAACCTTATGAAACAACATGATATGAATGTTGGGCCAACTGCGAAATGATGCGAATATGCAGGCACAACAAAACATTAAACTGTAAATTGCAACGATGCATCCATTCATGAAAATGCTTATGATAATTAAAACATGATGGAGTATAAAAAATGTATCAATTTCTCCTCTTTTAAAATTATAGTTAAAATATTTTATAGAAGTTTTTGCATTTTTTAGAAATGTTTGAGCTACTTTTGAAGTTTATTAGAAGTATCCATGGAGGATAACAAAAATGATCATGATATATGGCATAATGCTTGAGCAAATACATATAAAAGAAAATTACAGAGTCGTGTTCAAAACTTCTTCAGAAGTGTATACTATATTCATTTGATACACATCCTCATTGAACTATGTCATGATTCAACTTTCATTGTTTGGATAGGGCTTTGGATCCAACCCGTTAATTTTTTTTAAATGAAGTTACAACTTACATGCTCTTGGTATGAATGTGGATTCTTATACATAGCTTTAAGGCACTTACTTTCTTGAGATATGCTCCTGTATTATGACATTTTCTTTATTCATCTTAGGTTTTAATATCTTTTATGATTAGTTGGTCAGCCAGCTCAAATGGAGGCGCCTTAGAGTCTTTTGGTTTCAAACAAGGCTATCGGGTAGATGTCGATGTACCTGAGCATACATGGGCAGAGGCTCTTCCCTTCCATGATATCATTATCTTCAACACCGGGCATTGGTAATGATTATTTTTTATAAACTTTTTTTTATAGTTTTTTTTTTTCATTCATGCTTTATGGAAATCTTAGAACATGTGTACTTATGATTAATAAATGTTCGAGTCATAATATGGCCATGGAAGACATACCTATTTATTGGCATTTAAGATGGGGATGGATTCGGTAGTTTTGATCTTCAAAATTTATAGGTAGCGTATAAACAAATTTGGTCATTGGCCACTACTTTTCATTGCTTTCAATGCTTGAGAGCTTGGTTGTTAGATGCCCCAATATCGCTTCCAATATTGTCCATACAACAACATATTGGAATAACACTAATAAAAAAACATAGAGTAAGAATATTAAACTATTAAGATTACCTCAGTAGCTTATGCTGCTTAACTAGGATATTATTATTCAAATTCAATGATAATAGGATCATTATTTAGAAAATTATTATTAAAAAATAAACTGCAAAGAATTATAAATTATTTTATTTCTAGTTATTGAGGCCTTGGACATGCTTGGAAATTAGCTTTTTGTAATTTATCTCTATTACTAAGTTTTTGAAGATTTAAGGTATTAAATGCCAAGTTTGAATAGCATGTCTGTAACAAGATGTTGTACTAGCAACTTTTACAAATAACTGAATCATTCATCTTTTATTAAGTTTGCAATCATAAATTTTCACTAATTAATGTGATTATCTCAAGGTTTCTCTAATATAATCACTTATGAAGTTAGGGGATCAATCAATCAATGCATATTGGCAACTGAACGTAACCACCAAACTTGGTGGGTAAATAGGTCATACAAAACTAAAATTCTATATGGGGTTCCACCATTAAAGAGGTGCCTCCACTCCCCACGATGGAAACACATCCCTTCCACATAGTTATAGTGATCTGACATCATCATTTCTTATAGATTTTATTTTGTGGGAGAAACAAATACGAGTTCTCTCCTCTATATATCTATGCTTACAATTATAGGTCAAGCATAACTGGATAATTGCCACATGTATGAACTTAACTTGCCAACATGGAAAGTATAATGAGAAACTTGACGTCACAATGAGTTCACGAGTTCCCACGCATATTGAGTTGAACCCTTGTCCTCACTCACTGGTGGAGTAGCTCTTTCATCTACCAAATGAAAAACAAACCCTCTCATAACCTTAATACCTCATTTAGGGTTCAAACATAAATGATAAGTACTTGTGCACATGACTTACATGTATAACATGTAACTAGCCTGAACTTTCTAAGGTTTTCATTTCACAACAAGCTTACCCATACTATGCACACACAATCTTAACAATCAATAATTTAATTAAACATGTTGAATGCTAAATGAAATAAGATTTTACATGAATATTATCCATGCTATCCAATTAAAATAATTATACAGTGATCATTATGTAAATCAATCAATACCCAAAATACTTGCTTCTTATTATTAATCCATTGACACTTAGGTCATTATAATCTTAAAATCTCTCTCCCCTAGATTTTTACTATGCCCTTTTGTCTTTTTCATCTTTCTCTTTAGATGGCTACCATGATCGATAAATCTAGAAGTCTTTTTCCTTGAAAAAAAAGTTCACCTCTAATATATACACTAAACTCATTGCTAATTTTATGTTCTTCATTAACATCCTTAGCTAATTTTCCTATGCATGTATAGAAACCATCAACTTTTTCATTTTCTTTTTGCAATGTTAGAGTTATTAAAAAACTATTCGTGATTTAAGAAATGTAGAGACATGCAAAGTTTGACTAAGTTGCATTTTTCATCTTTTATCAATGTTTTCAAAAATATTTTCACACTTATTTTTGTTTGTAAAAGATGCAATTATTGCTTCTTTGGCTCTATCCAATGTCTAATATATATAATCTATCGGGGGACTTTTATTTATATCCACCAATGAAGGACCTTCAACAAAAGGTCTCTTTGTGCGCATAACCATAATATTGTTAAATGATTGTTTCAAGGTAATTTGTTGCACTTGCTTTTCCTTTGTTTACTTCAAATAAGCTCCCAACACAATTACTTTACATCTGAACATTTTTAAAATTCATTTGTTATTGATTAAAATGTTTTAAGGTCGAGAAGGTAGTGACAATTTGGGTCTTAGCAGACTTGACAAGGGACTTTTGATTACTGTGTAATCTCATTAAGTCATGTAATCATGGCCTTGAATAAATGTAATTATGCACTGCCACCGCTCTCTCAAGGTATCTATTTAGTTTACAATAGATTAAGGCCTTATATATAGGCCATAACATGAGAAAATCAAAATTACAAAAATGCCCCTTGGGCCAGGACACTCACATAAACTATCCTAGGGGTAAAATAGGAAAATACATAAAACAAGAGCTAAAATTCAGAAAATAATACATAAATGAAAATTTAAATAATGCCTGTCGATTTACGACGCCGCCTGTGATAGATGCGCCAAATCTTCGTACCGATGTCCGCATCACTTGACAAGAGACTTTTGATTACTGTGTAATCTCATTAAGTCAAGTAATCATGGCCTTGAATAAATGTAATTATGCACTGCCACCGCTCTCTCAAGGTATCTATTTAGTTTTTGAATTATAAAGATATCTTTCATTATCAAATCTAAATAATGAGTGGTGCATGGAATTCTATATAAGTGTGGATGTTTCTCAATTAACCACTTTGCTGTGGTAATATTTCAAAACATTTAACAACAAATCACTAAACTATCCAAAATGAATGTACAACTTTTAAAATAACAATAATGCAGTTTACCATCTAGTGAGTTCACTTACTTTCTAGAATATTCTCTATGGTATTATAAATGACCAGTTAAATGACATAATGTGGTCCAATCACTTTGATATACATATTCATCAATTCAAACATCTTTATGGTATTTTTTGAATAAGTGTTAGCATCAATCTTAATCCAGAAGTTTGCTGAACTTTTCCCATTAGGAGATGTTCAACCATTAGTCATAAGAAAGCATCCTTATTCGAAACAATTTTTTTTTGTGTGGCATTGCAATGATTATTTGGAGTGTTCTACTTCTTTTTTCAACTATGGAACTCGAACATCATGATTGCTTTCAGGTTTCATTCTATGTCCAAATTGCCCAAATGCCTTCCATATTGTCCGAAAGCAAGCATACTTAAATGTAATAAAGGGAATGCTGATATTATACATCCTATGACAAGAAACTGGGATTCACTCTTTTACCCATCTCTTTCTTAGCATCATTGATTTTTTTTTTTTTCGGGATTCTACGCTTTCATTGTTTCACCACATCAAAGGGATTCAAGTTAAAAATTTATCCAACAATCGTTTAACCTTTGGTTTGTTAAGTATAGAAGTCATCTTTAAAATTTAACTTTTGACTTGAAATTCTTGATTTTTGATTTATCGTTTGCTGGTTCAAGATATAAAAAGTCATTTATATTGGGAAATTCATCTAATTCATTCATATCACATGTGGCCTTTTATTAATTTTGTCTTTGGACTTCTTATTTATACACTCATGAATTTCATCGTTCATATGTTGAGGATAGTTAACAAAACCTTAAGTGTTTTTATAATCTCTAACTAAATGCTGTTTATGATGAGTAGTTTCTCTCTCTCTCTCTTTTAATTTTACAATAGAAAATACATTTGATACAATTGTGGTATCATTTTCTTTTGTCAATATATCATATTTTTACTTCGGGTATTTTTTAGAAGTTTAACTAAATAAGACATTTTCTATTGACTAGGGCATTTAAATTTTTAGAAGAAATTCCCTCCAAAGTTTACAGTTTTTAAAGATAATATTTTCAACGCCATGTTTCAGGTGGTGGTCTCCATCAAAGTTTGATCCAATTTGGTCACCAATGTTATTTTTTGAGAAGGGTATGCCTGTGTTACCTACTATATCTCCAGATGTTGGCATCAGTATCACTTTGAAACATATGGTATGTTTGTTTTCTCATTTTTTTAGTTATCAAGGATGGAAATATTTCACTGATTTTTTGGCTGAACTTTGACAAATTAATAAGAATCAGTCTATTTGCTAAGAATTTTGCCAAAAATTAATAACAAACCATACCTCCCAATGTCATTAATTTATTATTATGAAGTGTTTTAGATCCGCCTCAATTAGATCATTACTCAAAATATACTCACTACACAACAATTGGGTCTGTGATGATTGCCATTATGTCATTTAAAATATGTTGTGGCTATAAGACTGTCTTAATTTGTGAACTTACCATGTTAGAATCCCTTTTATTGTGGTTTAGTAGTTGAATCACTTGGTAAGCCATGCATGGTAGAGGAAGTAGGAGAAATGTATAAAAAAGCGTGAAAGATCATTCATGGATATCAAAGGACCAACTATTTAACAAAAACATCTTTATTTATTATTATTATAATAAATTTATTTAATATCTGGCGCCTAATTGTGGTATATGCTTATACTGCTTAGTTTTGAGACTTTATTAAGCACAACTTAATGAATTTCATGTTTTTGCATAATCAATTCAAGCAATCATGATGAAGACGTTGTCAACTAATGCAACGCCGCACGAAATAGGTTCAACATGTCTCAACATTGTGCAAAACTATGAAATGTCATTTGTTTGTGAAACGAATTAGGGCATTCATGACTTTGAATTGACACAAGAAGGACCTCTCGTGGTCGATTCAAGGGAACACTATTGAAATCAACGATCGACGGACCTGAAGTTGCGCAAAGTTGTCCGAATTTCCTCTGTTTACTAAACGGACTTCGCTGACTCGTTCGGAATGTTTAATTATCTAAAAATGACATCCATATTACATGGGTTATCACACAAGTGAAAAAACATAAAATTTGTCAACATGCAAGGCTATAATGCATTCCAAGATTCACGAGAAACGAGAAATAATGTGAGTGGTCGTTGATTCTTTTCTATTTTATCTCTTTCTATTTATTTATTTATTATTATATTTTTGATGTTATTAAAAAATCAAATAAAAAAGAGAAATTAAAAAAAAAAAATCTAATAAACTTCTTTTCCGTACCTTAACTCAGCCAAATCTGATGCATAATCACATCTTCTCTAGCCCTATACAAATTTAAAAATAAAAATCACTGAAGCCCAAGCAATCCTCCTTTCTTCCTCCATTCTCTTCTCCCAATTCTGCCAAAGTTCTTAAAATCATCTCATTTGGAAGATGTCCCAAAGAAGAAGAGATGATGGAGAATCCTTCACGACCGAGAAGAGATGAAGGGATTACATTCCTATGAAGATAGATGAATGTGATTAAGAATTCCATCTATAACAGATCCATAGAAGAACTTTATACTTGATCATCTTGAAATAATCAATCATCTCTTAAAAGTGAATTTTTATTCTAGAATCATTGAATTAATCTATATGAATAGTCAACGATTTATGATGAAGCAGACATTATATCTGTTGGTTAGATTGATGAGATCCATAAACCTTTTCTTTGTTTTGTATTTTCCTTTTTCATTGTTCATGGCTTGGATTAAGGTTTACATTAATGGTTTTATTGATAGAGTTTATTGTGGATTTGCAGTTTGATTATGGTGAGGACGGGCCAGGGTCGAGCATTGAATGAGAGAGAGGTGAAAGGGCAAGCTAAGTCAGGAGAAAAGTTTTTTTTATAATATTTTTTGTACGGGTGGGGTGGGTTGATTACGTTAGGTTTAGGAATATTTTGAATTTCTATAGTTTCTATTTCCATTTTTTAGGTTTGAAATGGGAATTTAAAAATTTGCTTGTATTTAAATACAAGAGTAATAAAATAGACTTATATTTTTTGGGCATTTTTAAAAAATGGTAGATTTTATGCATGAGATTTAATTTAAATTCCACAAACTAAAAATATGGATCAAAAGAGGGGTGGTGTTGCAATTTGTTTGAGGGGGTTTAGGGCATCATTTAAATTCTAATGATGATAATTTATTATTACTTTGAATATGGGCCTTTTTATTTATAATAGTTCTTACAAATTAGAGTGCATAATCAAACTTGCCTAAATTTACAAATAAGCATATTGCACATGATGAGTAAAACAGAGGCAGATAAAACCTAACATAAACCAATAAAAATTTAGTTATCTACCCCGAGTAAAATATTATGACATGACATTTCATGCATATTTATCCTACATCACTTTTCCTCATATCAGAATTTTTTTTTTCATGATACGATCTAATTGGTTATTTTTCATGTGTCCGAAACTAATAATATATCTATCATTGGAATTTATGGATTGAGATTAAACAATTATTTTCTTATTTTTGGCTTAAATATTTAAGCTTTAAATCAAGCATAATTTAATACAAATTTTGCAATATATCTCGCCTATTTTTCAATGTGCAACTCTTCAAACAAAGAGTATGTTCATCGCTAATGTGAAACAGACATCAATCAAATGTCTCTTTATTATTATTATAATTTTTAAAATTTTATGCTGCAGATATCTTACATAGAAAAAAGGATGAAGTCTGATGGCATCAAGTTTTTTCTTACTCTGTCTCCTAGACACTTTGAAGGAGGTGAGTGGAATCAAGGTGGTTCATGTAGGCGTGTACAACCACTTGGGATAAAAGAAGTGAGTTTTTCTGTTTTTCTACTTGTGCCATTGATATATTTTGATTTAAGTGTGCCAATGGTTGCGATATGCATAGTTATCTTCAATTGCAAAGGCAATTTTCTTTCATGATTTCTTTTGAGATGTTGTGCATGATTACATTTTATCATGGCTGCAATAAATTATTATGTGACAGACATTTTATTAGTACGGTAATTTTTAATCAATTTTTTTCCTTTACTATGATGTAATTTGGATAAGTTAATTAGTCATTCTGAATGTATCCCGTTAAACTAAACTTAGATTATTTTCCATGTGTGAAGTTATCAATGTAGCGCCAAAGAGTAAAGTAGCCAAGCTAGTCTAACGACCTTCTTCATGGATCACGAGTTGTTATGTAACTTTTGACTCATGGCCTCAAGAGTTTGGGCATCTCTTGGCTTATTTTTTCGGTTCTAGTGAAAATTAAAGAAAATGATAATTGGTAGTATGAGTACCTATGCTCTACGTCAAAACATAATTCAAACTATAATGCTCTACTTTGGAGCTTTGTCTAGTTTAGTTATTTTAGAAGACAAACCGATTTGTTTTGAAAAACATAAAAAAAAAAAAAAACAGATATTAGCTTATTTTAATTGTTTGCAAACAATTTTTTTCTCGTTCAACCCTTGCTTCTGACTCGAGCACCCTTCGTCTTATATTGTGCTCATTTTCTTTTCCCCTTACCCAGCATGGTTGGCAACGACAAGTTTAGAAGAAAAGGCTAGAGTAGCATTGCTATAGTAGCCCTTTGCCAAAACAACCTGTTAGGCCGGTTCATCCTGAACCGGCCCAGCCGGCTCAAGTCTATAGGAGGCGGACATGTTCTGCCTCCTTTGGAGCTTGCCGCCCACACTATTGGGTCCCACTAGGAGCTATTGGAGGAGAGAGGATTGGGCGGGTATGGTGAGAGGGAAAATTTGAATTATGAATGTTTGAATTAGGTAATTAATGTATTAATAGTATTGCTTGTTTAGGGTTAGGGTTATGCATGATTATTGGGTTCTTCACTTCTTTGGAGTTTTTCTCTTGGTGTCTTGGGCTCTAGAACTTCTTCTAGAGATTGGGAGAGAACGATCCTCCTCTCGAATTGAAGATCAATTGTATCTTTGCTTTGGATTTCCCTAATATAATCCACTGATTTTGGATTGATTTCATCATGTTCTTGTGTGTTTTCTCACAGTTTTTATCAATTATTGCTAGGGTTGCTTGCGAACTCAAGTATTTCCTCTTTGATTACTTGCGAACTCAAGTATTTCCTATCACAACTCTTGACATCAAATTTGCTTGACATCAAATTTGCTAGATCGACGGTGATGGATCTTAGCTTCACTCACAAAGAGCAAGTTATTGGAGCAACCCGTAGTCGTGGCATCCCTTGCTAGCAAAATTGTCAATTGATAGTGAAAACTGATGCTTCGTATAAAAAACATCCAAGGAGCAGCACTGTCGTAGCAACCCTTCGATAGAGTAAGCCTTGCTACTAAACTCATTGGATCGATAGTGATGACTCAAAATTTCATAAAAACCTTAGAAGGAGCTGCACTTCTGGAGCAACTCTTACCACTAAATTTGCTTGATCGGTAGTGATAAATATGTCTCTAAACCCAAATGGTGGGTGGTTATTGCATAACATAGTCAGAGTTTCGAAAGGGTTTATAATCAAAAATTAAGTCTTCAATCCTCAAACACTCCAGCCTTGATGATTGATACAATTATTATAATCAGTAGATTTCATCTATTATCAAATTGTTACCAGGTTACAAAGATATTAAATCAAGGCATTCCTCATCATGAATATCATTTCATTCATGACATATCATAATCAGAATGGTTCCTTATAATACATTTTGCTAGCAACGCTCTCCACTTCAAGTTAAGCCTTGAAAACATCCATAGTCAAATGAGGAATTTAGTTATTAGAGAATCATAATTTGAGAGGATATTCATAAAAAAAAAAAAAAGTTCTACAATGTTTTTGGTGGCCATCCAAATTTCAATTGGTATATCATATGTACCTTAAAGTTAAATCTTTATGCCTAATAGGCATATCGTATGATCTAGCTAGAGTTTAAATTGAGGTTTCATTTGGGACGACTTTCTTACTGCTTCTTAAAACAATTTTTAGTAAAAAATTAAAAATTTTATACTAAAAAGCTGTTTTAAGAAAAAGTAAAAAAAAACTGTCCCAAATAAAACATGAATAAAATAACTAGTTCTTCAAGTCATTTGAACTGCATCATTATGATCCCTAGTACATTTAACTGTAATATATGTTTTTTGCTTATACTCAAATCTTTTGAATCAGGTTGAAGATTTATTTAGTTTGGAGAAAAATGGAACGAATGTGGAGGTTCGCTTGGTGAATCAACATCTCATGAAGGCACTTAAAGGGTCCAGCTTTCACATTCTTAATATAACTCATATGAGCGAGTTCAGGGCAGATGCCCATCCTTCAATCACAGGAGGAAAGAAGCATGAGGACTGTATGCATTGGTGCCTCCCTGGATTGACAGACTCGTGGATTGATTTGCTCATTTCACTTTTAGAAAACTTGAAATCTTAATAGTTTCAACTACTCATTGATTTATTATTATTATATATATATATATTTTTGTCTTTAGCTTTTAGGAGTTTCATTGGTGAGGCTGATATGCCAAATTTAAACATTATGTGTAAGTTTACACAAAGTTGTGTCTATTATTATTATTTTTTGAAAGCAAGTTCATTTTTTTATGAGAAATATGTTAATAGATTCAATTTTTGATGTGCACAGCTTCTTTATTAATTACTTCATGAGTTTGTTAGCAAATTTATAAAATAGTTTATATTAATTTGATAGTTTTATTTTGTATGGTAGTAAAAAAATGCTTGGAAACTTGCTTTCTTAGGGGCTCTTTGGATGCACCAAAGATTTAGTTCAAGTAGGATTTCGTAAGCTTTGGAATGACTTTGAAATGATTTAAGAAACTTTTTAATTAAAAAGATGTTTTAAAAAATAGCAAATGATTACATCCGGTCACCGGATGCACAAAATAGGTTCGGACATCTAATAAAAATATGCCACGTCAACTATGTTTTTTGTTGCACTTTGACTGTGCTTTTGGCTGCGCTTTACATGCACTTTACTTGCGTTTTATCTACGCTTTTAAAACACGTAATTTAAAATAATATTTATTTAATATTCGGACCTATCTCCGAGTCTGGTGATCGGATGCAATAATTTGCCTCTAAATGGAGCCTAGATTTTACTAAACTCTAAGATATGATGGAATGACTTGGAACAAAATTTGGGATGCTAAAAGTCCTAATCACCATTATATTTTTTTTCCTCTGGATCCAATAAGCTCGACCGACCTGGTTTAGCCAGCCTTATCTAGTCCAATATAGCGCCCGATCTACACGGCCCGGCCGCGCGGAGCCCTTCTTCCTACCCACCGCAACCGTTGCCTCATCACACTCATCGCTCTACACGCACTATTGCTCCTCAGCTCCTCACTTTCTCCCCACCCTCTATAAAACGCCACCAAACCTCCCTCAATGCTCTGCAGCCTATACATCTGTCCTCTTCGGAAACCAAACACCATTCTGCCAATGAATCCATTCATCTCCTCACATCCAGTTCAAGTGGCGCTACCAATTAACCGCGGAGGCGAAGCATTACTCCAGCAATTCGGACTCATGTAACGAGGCGGAAGAGTTCTGTCAGTGGAAGAAAGGATCGTGGCGCAGCGGCGACGAGCCCGATTGGATGTCTAAGGCAATTGCCGGGGAAATGCGCCTGTAGGCCGGCTCCTTGCTTCGCCAACGCTGGATTGCGGTTGAAAAAGAGTTCTTGAAAGGGGAAGGCCGGAGTGGAAAATTCTACTTCGTCGGAGAGAGGTCGCCGCACTTGTGGAAGCGCCAACTTGTCTTCCAGATTGCTGTTCGGCGGTCATATTCAGGTAATATTCAGTTGAATTAAATTACTCTTTATAAATCTTTCTGAACAATTTTTCTTTAGATATCTTATGACAATTTGTTCGTAAGTGTTACATAGCATTTGGATAAGATTTTATTTTCATTTGATAAGAAATTTAGCAGAGAAGAAAATAAATCAAGTCTTTTTTTTTTCATTTGAATGCAGAGCACGAGCAAGGTGGATGTTCAGTTTTGCGCATGGATTAATTGTATATAGTTCAAAGGTTGTAATTTTTTTATTATTTTGTGTTGGACTGAACAGTTGTTTGTTTGATTGATGAGATTATTATTTCTCTGATTATAATTGATTTTTTTTTTAATTTATTTTGAACAATATATTCTTGTAACTATTTTAAATAGCTATAAATAAAATCCTTTAGCTGGCAGGGCAGCTATGAGAAAATTTCCCTGCAATTGCTTTTCTTTTTTTAGTTCAATTAATGGTTTGGGAGCTTTGATGAGCCGCTCAAAGTGCTTGTTATCTGTGTTAATTAGCATAACATCATTTGGTGCTTTCGTTGCATCATCTGCTGCTGCAATCATGTAAATGTAATTTTTTTTTTATCAGTTCGAATTTCCATTCAGAGGTTAATTTTTTGTCAAATTGTATGCACTTATTTTTGTCTTGAAATTTTGCAGTATTAATCCAAGAGCAGAGTGATGCAATTTGCATATGTTAAATTTTTATATTTATTATATTCATTTCCTGATGATATTGCTTTAGGCTTCATTTGAGAGAGCTTTCTAATGCAAAAAATATTTGAAGCTTTTTTTTAATACAAAATTTCTTGAAATAAAATTGTTGTACTAAAAAGTTATTTTATAAATCAATAAGAAAGCTTTCATAAAGATTTTGTTTGAGATAGTTTGCTTCATAAAATAGTTTTCTAGTAAAAAAAAATTCAGTTAAAAAATAATTATATTGAAAAGACTATTCCGAATGAAACCTTAGTCTGATTATTATTGGATATTGTTTAAATGAAGGATGTTAACATTTAGTTATTGTTACAATTTAATTATAAATTATTTTTTTTAACGAAATGAAGTATACTAAATATTAATACAATTTATGTTAATTTTGTTATGTTTATTAATTATGTAAACGGCAAAATATGTCATTAATTTTTTTAGTTTGTAAAGTAATTAGTACTCAATATATGAAGAAGCTCAATTGATTAGAATATGTTTCGAATAAATTATTTTAACTGATTTTACATCCAAATCATAGTTATAATTAGCCACTGCCAGGAAAAATATGTAGTTCTTGAACTTTCTTGAGCTTTTCTTGAGAGAGAGATAGAGAAATTGTAGGATAAAAATCTATTGTAAAGCTTTATTAAATTTTTTTCTAAATTATACATTAGCATATACACTCTATTTATAGAGATTTATATGGATAAGATGTCAATGCGGATCAACCTAGTCTAAAACTTGGAACAATTTTCAACTTGGTCTAAGTTTTACAATAAAAAAACAATCTCCACACCTACTGCAATCTAATTGGCTTCCAATACTAACTCCACGAGCAATCCCGTCGATCCAAGCCCAATCCCGCTCGCAAACAGCCTCCATCATGCATTCCAATCCACGGTTCCAGCTCGCACTCCAGCACCAATTCGTCTATCTTCCTCGAACACACATGCGGGCTCACACCTGCGACCTGAGTTTGCGAACAACCTCGCCCAAGTTCTTGATCTTGTCTTTCTTGATCCACTACTCCAACACACAACAAACAATTGACTTCTCCTTAATCAACACGCAATCTGACCCATATGCTCCATCTCAAAAACTATACAGATTTTCTACCAAGAATAAGATCTTGAATATTCCATCCTTCGAGCTCTCTATTCTCCGGGGAAGAAACAACATGGAGATAAAGAGAAGATGTGAAGGGCACATATTCCTCTAGTTTCTTGACCAGCTCATTCGTTGTTGGAGAAGAAACAATGATGTGACGGGCCTTCTGAGAAATAAATGCCTCCATGACAGCCATATCAACGAATGAGAGCAATGAATTATAGTATCCATCCACGTTAAAAAGACCAACCGGCTTCTAATGAATTCTAAGATGTGCCCATGTGATTACTTCAAGCCATTCTCATTGAAATATCATCAAAAAAATTATGTTCATCGGGTACGAATCTCGAATCAAAAATCAAGTTGGAAACTTCAAAATTTAGTCGGTGACCATTTGAACTTTGTTTTTAGCAAACTTATAGACAAATTGAATGTCTCAGAAATATGAATTCAACGACACAAAATTCAACTCAATCCGAGCCCAAATGGGTACAAATCAAAGACTCGATGAGCATTTGGAAGGTTCAATATATAATTTGAATTACCAAACATTTTTCAAATGTCGTGTGCTTATAATTGAATAGAGCAGCTCAACGAGATGAATCCAACGAGCCCAAGATCGTTGAATTATGATATCATTAAGACATTCAAATGCCCAATAAATGATCCATGATTGAGGGATTCAACATCGGTCGTCCATTCAAACCACTCCCAATTTATCCTTGATCTTTCATCTATCTACTAGTCATGTCATTCTAAAAAAACTATAAATAGATCCATCGTTTCTTATAGAAAGGCCCGCTGAAGGGGCTGGGGGGAAGAAGGAGGCAAAAGCAAGAAGAGAAGGAGGATAACCCTCTTACCACTAGACTCTACCTCGACCACCGCTGGACTTCCACTCGATAGCCTACCAATGTCGGAATTCTGCCCGAATGCCAATTGAAGCCAAAGTTCAGCCCAACCACCAACTAACGTTGAACTTCTGCCTGTATCTGAACCTATGCTTACTATCGGATTTTTACCCGACGTCAGACATCCGCTCGTCACCGGATTTTTATCCGACCTCGGACTTCTTCCTGTCGCAGAAATTCTAACCCGTTGCCAGACTTCTACCTGACTGTCAATTAATGTTGGTTTTTTGCCCGGCCACCAACTAACGCTGAACTTTTGCACGGCCGCCAATTGATGTCTGACCTCCTTCGCCTTATGACTACGGTCCATCCGACCTCTGTTGCCTACCAACTATAGTCCTTTTGACCTTTGTCACTAGACAACGATATATATGACCTATGCCACTCACTGACTATGATCTTCATACAATGGTATGACGTTAAACTTTATAATTTTCTACCTTCGTGAATATTCCAATATGCAATAGTTTAGCGACTTCGGCGGGAATATCGTTCTTGCCTTGGGGCAATTATTGCACGGATTTCAAAAGAGCACTCATATCAACATCCATATATCAGTCATTGATGCATCAATTACATAAAAATGAGATGTGGATTGGGGGCAATTTTGACTCCAACCATGATAAAAAAGATCCTCAAATGCTTTCAACATCAAGATTATAATTCAAAAAAATCTCAACAAATGCAAGAATGTCTACCAACTATAGTCCTTTTGACCTTTGTCACCAGACAATGATATATATGACCTCTGCCGCTCACTGATTATGATCTTCATACAATGGTATGACGTTAAACTTTATAATTTTCTACATTCGTGAATATTCCAAGATGCAATAGTTTAGCGACTTCTGCAGGAATGTCGTTCTTGCCTTGGGGCAATTATTGCACCAATTTCAAAAGAGCACTCATATCAACATCCATATATTAGTCATTGATGTATCAATTACATAAGAATAAGATGTGGATTGGGGGCAATTTTGACTCCAACCATGATAAAAAAGATCCTCCAATGCTTTCAACATCAAGATTGTAATTCAAAAAAATATCAACA